CTTATGAATACACAGTGAAAGTGAAGAACAGATTTAAGGAACTAGATTTGGTGGAAAGAGTGCCTGAAGAACTTTGGATAGGGGCTCATAACATTGTATAGGAGGCAGCAACAAATACCATCCCAAAGAAAAGTAAATGCAAGAAAACAAAGTGGCCTTACAAATAGCAGAGAAGAAAAGGGAAACAAAATGCAAGGGAGATAGTGAAAGTTACAGAAAATGGAATGCTGACTTCCAAAAAGTAGCAAGGAGAGACAAGAGGGCCTTCTTAAATGAACAATGCAAAGAAATAGAGGAAAATAATAGAAAGGGGGAAACCAGAGATCTGTTCAAGAAAATTGGAGATATTAAAGGAACATTTTGTGCAAAGATGGACATGATAAAGAATAAAAATGGTAGGGACATAACAGAAGCAGAAGACATCAAGAAGAGGTGGCAAGAATACACAGAGGAATTATACCAGAAAGATCTGGACGTCCCGGACAACCCAGATAGTGTGGTTGTTGACCTTGAGCCAGACATCCTGGAGAGTGAAGTCAAGTGGGCCTTAGAAAGCATGGCTAAGAACAGGGCCAGTAGAGGTGATGGCATTCCAGTGGAACTATTTAAAATCTTAAAAGATGACCCTGTTAAGGTGCTACACTCAATATGCCAGCAAGTTTGGAAAACTCAGCAGTGGCCAGAGGATTGGAAAATATCAGTCTACATCCCAATTCCAAAGATGGGTGGTGCCAAAGAATGCTCCAACTAATGTACAATTGCACTCATTTTACACACTAGCAAGGTTATGCTCAAAATCCTACAAGGTAGGCTTCAGCAATATGTGGACCGAGAACTCGCAGAAGTACAAGCTGGGTTTCGAAGGGGGAGAGGAATTAGAGACCACATTGCTAACATGTGCTGGATTATGGAGAAAGCCAGAGAGCTCCAGAAAAACATCTACTTCTGCTTCATTGACTACACAAAAGCCTTTTACTGTGTGGACCACAGCAAACTATGGGAAGTTCCTAAAGAAATGGTGGTGGCTGACCACCTTATCTATCTCCTGAAAAATCTATATGTGGGACAGGAAGCAAAAGTTAGAACTGGATATGGAACAACTGATTGGTTCAAAATGGGGAAAAAAGTACAACAAGGCTGTATATGGTCCCCCAGTTTATTTAAGTTATATGCAGAATACATCATGTGAAAGGCTGGACTGGATGAATCCCAAGCCAGAATTAAGACTGCCAGAAGAAATATCAACAACCTCTGAAATGCAGATGATACCACTCTGATGGCAGAAAGTCAGGAGGAATTAAAGAACCTCTTAATGAGGTAAAAGAGGAGAGCGCAAAAAGTGGTGTGAGGCTCAACATAAAAAAACCTAACATCATGGCCACCAGACCCATCACCTCCTGGCAAATAGAAAGGGTAGATATGGAGGTAGTGACAGATTTTACTTTCTTGGGCTCCATGATCACTACAGATGGTGACAGCAGCCACAAAATTAAAAGACGCCTGCTTCCTGGGAGGAAAATGATGACAAAACCATACAGCATCTTAAAAAGCAGAGACATCACCTTGCTGACAAAATTCGAATAGTCAAAGCTTTGGCTTTTCCTGTAGTGATGTATGGAAGTAAGAGCTGAACCATAAAGAAAGCTGATGGCCAAATAATTGATGATTTTGAATTATGGTGCTGGTGGAGACTCTTGAGAGTTCCCCAGACAGCAAGGAGATCAAACTGGAAGGACAGATCCTGAAGCTTAGGCTCCAATACTTTGGCCATCTCACGAGAATAGGAGACTCCCTGGAAAAAACCCTGATGTTGGAAAAGTGTGAAGGCAAGAGGAGAAGGGTACAGAGGACAAGATAGCTGGACTGTGTCATTGAAGCTACCAACATGACTTTGACAAAATTCGGGAGGCAGTGGAAGACAGGAGGACCTGGAGTGCTCTGATCCATGGGGTCACGAAGAGTCGGACACTACTTAATGACTGAACAACAACAAATTGATGTTTTGGTTTTCCCCTTTTTTATTGGTGTACAGATGCACAAGTACAAAATACCCAGCTCTGGCTTGGATATACTGTATTATAATATTGTAAAATTTTTGAGATTTCATTCCTACATCTGATAAAGGCCAGTGAAACAATAAACATGTTAGCCTTGAAGGTGCTTTGAGACTCTGAGATTTGATTGTTTATGTTTTTTCAGTCATAAACAATCTTTAAAATATCTAACCCCCTTCTGAAGATGATCTTTCCATGACTACAAAGCAACGTCACTGAGGTCAACAGCTCTGACATTGCTATCTTTTCGGCATCAGTTCAAGACTTCCTTCTGCTACTTGACATTTTGTGGTATTTGATGGCATACAAGCTTTTTCCACTTCAAGGCTATTGTAAGAATCAACTGAGTTGTGTTATTTAATTGTCCAGTTATGACTCATTGCCTTCATTGCCTGAAGAGTAGCTGCATTAACTTGAGGGAAGACCCTTTTAGCACCTTAAAGTTTTATTTAGTACAGACTTTTGTGGACACTGTTGTATTATGACAAAAGTGGGCAACATAGAGTTATGGGCTAGAAGTCCGTTACCCCCCCCCCCCCGCCACTTCTGCAGCCATCAAGGTCATCTGACAGACCTCCAGTATTTTTACATTCCCTCTCTTCCCAAATTTCTGGTATTCAAAGCTCTAGGAATAGGGCTGTCTATTGCCTGTAAATTGTACATTATGGATCCCTAGCGTAAATCTGGGGAAGACTTCGAATAATCTAAGTAAACACAAAATACTGTTTTTCTTGTCCTCAGATCAAAATAAAAGCAAATGATTCTGGAAACAGCCACTAAAATCCAGTGTGCAGAGATGGAGTTCCAAGATGGGGAGGGGGTTAGGATTTTCATTCATTGGTCAGTTGGCTACTTTGTGGCCACCTTCAGGGGCCTACAGAGATCTCAAATAATCTATTTCCAAGTTTCATCACTTGATACTTATTGAAAAAGTTTACCTGATATCAGTAATTGCTGATGTTTCACTATTCCTGAATAAGGTCACAAAATAACCAATTATTTTGTGTTTGGCTACTTTAATGAATAAAATCTATTTTTTCATATCATTCATTCATTCATTCATTCATTCATTCATTCATTCATTCATTCATTCATTCATTCATTCTTATATTTATACCCTGCCCATCTAGACAGATAGTCTACTCTTGGCTGGATCCCAAGCCACAGTGTCACCTCTTAAAATCTTGCAGCTTGGTTTAAGAGCAGAGATATACATCAAAACATATCTGGGCATATAAGGTCAACCTTTGGTATTGGGCTAGGCTTGTTGATGCTTATGAGTTGTCCTGGGGTCTGGAAAACCCAAGACTGACCTGTTTCCTACTCTGGACTTGTTTTGTTTGACATAACCATCCTGCAATCATGGTCAGATCTTCCAAAACTTTGATCAAGAAGGAACATGACACTGGTCTGATTAAAATATGGATTCTGTCAACAACAATCATCTTTATTCATGGACATATACAGAAAATAGCAGAGAGTCCTGTGGCATATCTAGAACTATTAATTTATTATTGTGAGCTTTCAGAGACCATAGTCTATTTCCACCAATGCTTAAAGAGTTAGCGTGAAGGTTCTAGTGTATGTACTTCACACCTATTTTGGGGTAGGATCTGGGATGTAAATACAGTAGCAAAGTAAGTAAAGTAAGAGTGAATTTAAATGCCGAATTACTAAGAGCTGTAATTCCATTAGCACAAATATCCTGGCAGCAGACACTGGCGAGATGCTGGCACTTTTTCACAGACCAGCCTCTCATTCTGTTTCCTTCACATTGTGGAACAATAAAGAATATTACACTGTACTTTGACAGTGTTAGCCGTGATGCTGTGTTATAGCTGAAACCCCAGAAAGTTCTATGGTATTTTAAACACCCATTAACCTTGCCCTTTCACTGTTGGGCCAATGTTGATAACTATAGTTGATAATGCAGCCTCCTAGTACCGGGTAAGCCATTTAATACACATAGGCTGAAATTATGTTGCTTTTCTACACAGCTGGAAGGCAACTGGCACAGCATTCAATCTCTTCCAGCTACCAGAGCACTTGCTGGGATTCATGCACCAAGCCAGTGAGCATGCACTTAACACTTGCTGGGATTCCTGATCATGCACCAAGCCAGTGAGCATGCACTTAGAACTGCAGCAGTGTCTCTAACTTCCCGCTGGAAACAAGTAAATGTTACACCATTTGCTTTCTCCCTGCATAAAAAAAGCAACAGGATTTTAGCTATAACAAGTCTACTAACCTGATTCATGGTGATCAGCTAAAATATCTTAATGATTTGGAAGTCAACAGACTCTTTTTCTAATCACCCCTTGAACCATCTTTGCTCTACAATAGCCAATCTGAAGTCAGGGACCTCACAATTCAATCAGCTGCCGATTTTTGTACGATGAATGTTCACTGCCATTGATAAGGATATATTGTGTAAATGTGCAGATTGTCTGTTATAAAGCTTAGAAGTGACCTACAAAACTCTGTAGAGATGTCAACTGGAATGTTCACCAGTCCATTTTCTGCTTTGGGCCAATAACAGCGCCCACTGCAGATCATGGCACTGCGTGGAGTCCTTCTATAGACAATGTCATCTTGGCGCAAGTCAGTTTCCCCTGCAGAAAGGAAGGGTCAACAGAAGATGAGAGAATGAAACATATTGGTAAGTGTTAGAGAATGAGATTAAATATGCATCTTTTCCAGGTGAAAGATTACTGTTCATGGTCAGACATGTAGTAATCCATCTATATTAAATTAAATCAAACAATGTAAAGCCAGGGTTTTGCCATATGTAATGGTAAAAAGGCAAATTATTGTTATGAAATGAATGCAAATGGCTCATTCTATGTAACAGAAAATTTAGAGTTTTTGATCAACCCAAAACATTACTCAAGGTGATTATTTCTGGTGGTTTTTCCTGTTATTTTTAATGAATTAACATTTCGAGCAACAGAACTATTAATATCTTCCCTATACCAACTGGATATGAATGGAAAGCTAAGAATATAAGAAGAGGAATGCTGGCTTAGGCCAAAGGGTTCTTTAGTACCCCATGTTGCCAGTTGCTGACGAAGGGAAGATTTGATCAGAGATGGAACACTCCAAAGCAGTTAAGTGATACAATCATTAAAATTATACTAAATATAGATAAATATTAACATTAGAAATATGCCCACTTGAAGATTATGGAACAAATAAAACAAATATTAACATTATGGATATTCCTGCTTTGGAAATAGTGCATTTCCCCAATACTAAGGAGTATAGTTTGTCATTTTTATTTCTTGACTATAAACCATTTTGTAAGCGTGATAGTGTGTTCCAAGCGTGTTTACTCAGAAGTACATATCAGTGAATTGTGTGTCTATGTTGTACTGGTGTTTATCTTCTTTCTTTTCTTTGACCTTTTGGGATAGACATGCCATAGCCTCTAACTATTCATCATGCTAATTGGCTTGATAGAAGTTCATACCAAAACGCTGGGAAAGTAAAAAATTTCTCCACCCTTGCCCTCCACATATAGCATGAGCAACTTATGTCTGTTTTAAGCCACTTAGCTCATTCTGTCATTCATCCAAACCAGACTTCACATTTACAAAAATGTTTACAGTTTATTAAGCTTATGCCACTACACGAGACGAGTGTCAGTAGTGAGCTTAAATAAATGGCGATAAAAACCAGTCCTGCTTTCATCACAATTTATGGACTGACAGTTATCACATAATAACAAAAAGTATGACAGTTCCTACACACTTCTCTTATTTTGTCCTTAGCAGATTAGAAAAAATTATCCACACTTGACTGTCATAAACAGTGAGGAAAACCTCATAGAAAGTTAAAATTGAATGCATGTAACTCTTGAGTCTTCTGCTACTCTTTCCAACTTTCAAATACCTCTATATAGACACAAATATCCTGAGTAAAATCTGTTGGGCATTTCGCCTCCAAGGCTTTCAGTGAAGTAAGTGGGAGCTGTGCAAGAATATCACCATTTTGTCATGTAGCTCCCATTGATTTCAGCATATCTTATGCTGGAGAACCTCCTAGTGTAATGATTTAGCAATCTTGTTATAGAAACACAGCTCTGACTGTTATTCTTTTTGGTAACACACAATAAAACGCCATCATAAACCAGAAGCAACTGACTAAAGTTAGAGAGATACAAGTGCAGTAAGAAAAAAACAAAAAACCCCTGGGAACTTCACATTTCCTAGACTAGTTATAAATCAAGCTCACCTATGTCACTGCTTTCCTGGATTCCCTGCAAAGGAATGAAGATTTTTTAAGCGCGTATATAGAAAAGCAATCATTGTACATGCAGGAGTTCAGTTCTTCAAAAAAGATGTTCAGAGAGCATCTTCAGCTGGATGAAGGACTCACCTGGATCTGTTTACCTACTGTGAATCCATAAGAAACTATTAGAAATAATGTAGTTGACAGGGTTAGGAAATTCATTTTTGGATGCCTCCACAGGTTCTTGTGGGTTCTCAGGAACTCTACTTGTTCAGACTTCACTGGCTTATTTGCTACTTGGGTGTTGTTTTTTATATGATAACTGCTGGCTTTAGTTATTGTAGAACAGCTAGATAGTAACACATATTTTCACAGAAACAAACAAGCTGTGAGAATTCCCAGCAGAGCTGACCAAGTGTCATTTTTGTGTTACTTTATCATCAGCAAAGCAAGGAAGTGTTGCAATATGAGCAAATGTAATTGTTGGGCAACTGAAAATGGACTTTGTAAAAAATCTATCAATAAGTAATTTAAAAAAAAATAGAACAATATGATCATTAACACTAGGGGTGTGCATTTGGATTCAGAATTCACAAAATAATATCATATTTAGATAGTTTGAAAATATCCAAATATGAATTTGATAGTTCCAACTATATGAAATAATAATTCCTAATATCTGGAGTCCATTTACTCCTACAGATTATAAAGCAAAAGCTAGATTTCTGTTTGCCAGAGAAAAAAGTGAAAGTGAAACCTGTTACCCAGCTGCTGGTCCAGTTATCTTTGGTCTGGTAAGTAGTACAAAGCAACCCATAATTCCTGGGTTGTATTTATATGTACTATGGTCTATAAAATTAAATCCAGTACATTGAAAGTAGAGTCTTTCTTTAGGTAGCAAAATGGCTTAGGCTGCCTCTAATAATAATCATAATAATAATAATTTAAAAGATGCAGATAATATCTTAATGGCAGAAAGCAGCAATGACTTGAAACAACTGTTAGGGAAAGCAAAATAAGAAAGTGCTAAAGCAGGATTGCAGTTGAACATTAAGAAGACAAAGATCACGACTACAGTAGAACTACACAACTTTAATGTTGACAATTAAAAAATTGAAATAGTTGGAGAAAAGCTCATCAAGTGTAAGGATATATCACTGGAGCCCAAGATCAAGATCATCCACACCCTTTTATCCCTGATTACTATGTATGGGTATAAAAGCTGGACAGTTCAGAAAATTGACAGGAAAAAAAAATCAATCTGTTTGAAATGGACTAATAGAAGAGAGCTTTGTGGACACCCTGCACTGCCAGAAAGACAAACTGGTGGTCTTAGATCAAGCCTGAATTATCTCTGTAGGCAAAAAAAGAAAGAAAGGAAAGAAAGAAAGAAAGGGGAAAAAAAGGAAAAAAGAAATTTAAACGTCCTACTTTGAGAAGGCAGGATTCTCTGGAAAAGGTGGAAGGCAACAGGAAAATGCTGGGAACGGTGGAAGGCAACAGGAAAAGAGGAAGACCAAATATTAGATGGACTGACTCCTAAAAGAAAGCCACAGGACTGAGTTTACAAGAGCTAAGCAGGGCAACTGAGGATAGGACAGTTTGGAAATCTCTCGTTCATAGGACTGCCATAAATTGGAACCAACTTGACAACACATAACAATAATCTCTACAGTAGCAGTAGTAGTGGAATCTTTTCTTCCTGGCTGACAAAGTCTGAAACTGTTGTTTTTTCTCTCCCAAATTTTAGAAAACTACTTTTTTAGACTACAACTCCCATTACTGGTTGGGGATTCTAGGAGCTGCAAAGAATTCACTGTTATAATGACAATAAACATTTTACAGCTTACTTGAACTACAGAAAAAAAAATCCTCTTTGTTCCTATCTACTTCTGTCCATACAACACCATATTCAACATTTGAAAGCCAAACTCTGATGTTTAAAGAATGAATGTCCTTGCTACTATGGTAGTTCTGAAAATACATGACTCATTGGGAAGGACACTTTGCAAGTCCCATGAAAGGGATATAGAATCAACTTTCTACAGCTGCATATTATGAAACAGCAGGCCAAGTAGTTTCAAATTGTTAGGCAAGAAAAACAAAAGAAACAAAAGCCAGGCTTCTCCAGTGAGTACACCATGTTTCACTCTCTCCAGCTGAGGGCTGGAGGGAAATGGAACTTTAGAGCCTTGCCTTGGATTTCAAACAGATGAGTTGGTGGAATACAATTCCTAATCTGTGATTGACTCCAACGTGACTGGGAGTGGATTGGCAACTGAAATGAATAACTGGAGTTACGTAATTTATGTAATTTGCAGAAGATCTTCAAAATAAAAGAAACTTTTCCAACCTTACATTTAGAGCCTTGTAAACAAATGCCTCCTCTCTAAAAGACTTCCCTTGTGCCATCATTTGCCTAGCTGCTTTACTATAATGATAATTTTCAGGAATAGATTTCGACTCTTGACAAAACAATTTGGCTCCAAGGCCGCAATTTAGAACCGTAACCCTTTCCTCTACTCTGCTATCCAACCAATGTTCAATTCCCATTTGGCAATAGGGTACTTGGGGACATTTATTGGAGTTCTTCCTTAGTTACTCTAAATATGACTTTTCAAAATATCTTTAGGATCTTCAGGAAATATCCTGAGGCAGAGCTTCAAACTTACTTTTAAGAAAGCCATTTGTGACAGAGCAGTGGTAGAATGATGCTCAGGGATCGTGATCACCATGCTACCACAAATTTCCAACAGGTTATTATATGCCTTCTTAAAATTAACATTCCACAGCAGTCATTTCACCTTTCCTGTGCATCTGTGGAACAAGCCATTGAGCAGGAAGAGACAGATGAAAAGAAGACACAGCCATGTAGGTGCAATTTTCCCAGCTGTTTGCTTCTGGGCTGCAGTCTCAGTTAGATGACTAGCTGGTTTTAATGGGAATATTCTGACAATACTGCAGTCATGGGAACATACTTTGAAAGTGTCTTCAAACATCAGTCCTTTCTTTATGAGAAGTTAGATTTCATTGTATTTCAAACCATTCCAGAATGACGTTTAAAGGAGCACAGAGAGAAAATTCTAATCTATCAGGAGATTAAATTGTAGTATTATTCCAGTTTTCCATTGATTGCCAGTCATGACCACCTTTCCTTCAGAGAACTCAAGGCTCTCTCTAGAAAGGCAGGAGAGGCCTAAAACATTCTTATTACATTTCTCCTTACTTAACAATGAACAAAATAAAAAACAAGCAACTCTAGGCTAGAAATCTTAGTTACACTCTTGACCTAAATGGCCTATTACAAATCGTTGCCAGAGTAATAAGAAATTGCTCTTTGATTCGGTTTCAGATGGTTTTGATGCAAATCTGATCCATATGCCTTACCTTCTCAGTATACTCCTCATAGAGATGCAAAAGCAACAGGGTAATAAACAGTTTGTGAAAACAATTCAGAACCAGCTTTGGAAAATGTATCCAGTTTAATCTGGTTCCAACCCAATAAGCTAAACTTTGTGATGATAAGGTGACATAACTAAAACAAGAAAAGCAAAAAGAGACATTTGCTTATTTATTTACTATGGATATTTAACACCAACCTTCAATAAAATTCTTAGGGAGATTTTATTCAAAAAGGCAACATATAGCAAAGCAAAACAAACAAAAATAAAGAGTTAGGTAGGCTAAAGGTGCTTAAAAAGAATACAAGAGACGAGGCAGCATATTAGTGATTATTGTCTCCCTAACTATGAAAGGGTCAAAAAAGAGTTACTGACCAGGTATAACTACAATCCTTTTAAAAATTGAGAATTATGTTTCTTTAAATGCCAAAGATGTTGGCTGATACTGTGATCTCTCAAGGGCAAATACCCAGCTCAGTGTTTGGAAATCAATCAATCAATCAATCAATCAATCGATCGATCGATCGATCGATCGATCGATCGATCGATCGATCGATCAATCAATGTCTATCTATCTATCATATAAATCAAATAATAGGATTTGCAGTACATTTTAAAAGTACCACGATGGAAGGACATGTAAAACAATTCCGCGCTGGAAGACAACTTAAAAATAACTAAAAGTACTATACTCTACAATCATTCCAGAAGGAGGTATCACAAAATGTGAAACTTGAGCAACAGTTTCCAAACAAGTAGTTGTGTCAGTTAGTCTTTCTCAGCCTGTTGGCAAAATGGAAGGGGGGAAACAAGAAAAAGACAACATATTGTGGTACTTCAAAGATGGAACCACTGTGTTTCAGAGTGAGATTTGGTGGATCAAAATCTACTCCTTCAGACACAAAAATGTGTTTTACCTTAAAAGGGCTCAGAAGGTATCCCAACCTTCAAGGTGATGGCACTAACAAATCGCAGTTGTTTCTCTTGACTTATGTTCAGACCAAGAACAACTGTGGCCTAATGAGCCCTGAGGGCTTCTGAGAAGGCTTCTGAAAGGTCAGTATATAAACGTCTTACTGTCTGAAGGTAACTATGAGCAACAGAACATTTTCAATACTGACTCCTTGCATTTGGAATGCCCACCCCGGAAATGTGCCAAATATCACATTATTGTCCACCAGAACATACAGTAGATCCCCAAACTGGGGGTCAGGTGGAGGATAAAGAAATTCCAGGGGGAATGTGAGACTCTCATTAATTACATTTTTTTAAACAGCTTAACCAAATTTCTGTGACATATATCATCATTACGACTGAGGATTTATCAGGAAATAAAATCTACTTAATTTCATTTTTTAGAAGTATGAACTGAT